TGCTGAAGAAAAGCGACGCAGAAAGAAAAGCTGATATAATTAAAATGCAATATTAATGAAGTGCCAAAAAAAAAAGGGGGGGGGAAATAATTGAATTGCCACTGGCTTTCAAGCATCGGTTGAACATCTTTGGGAGAAAATTCTCAGTCGGTAAAAACGGGGGTCAGAAAGTTCCCAGAAAGATTTTATATTGGCAGGCAGTTATCGACTTACCACCATTCATTGAACGACTGTTTGCAGTTACAATGACACTGAAAAAAATGACTCACAACCTCTCCTTGCACTTAGGCCACAACAGGATGCCACAACAGTCGTGTCAGTGGCCTGTGCAGATTGTAGCTGATTCCGACAGCGAGGAGGCTGGTGTGGTGCTGCGCCAGCAGCCTGTGCAGCTGGCACTCGAGTCAGACAATGAGGAGGCTGGAGAAGATGTGGTGCCAGAGGCGGGGATTCAGCCAGGGCCTTCAGAACCTCCAGAAGCTCCTATAAGTGAAGAGGAAGAAGAGGAGGAGCCTCTTCTCGATGCACGGACACGCAGAGCTGCCAAAAGGCAGGAGTGGCTCCTCAGGAGGAGGTCTCCTCGAGAGTAAGGCTTGGGGCTAATTGGCCACTCCCTTAGCCTATTTAAGGAGAGACGCCAACTGAAGCAATTTGCAGGGAACAACTTTAGTTCACTCTCCTTCGTGTCTGGATTCTCTGCAAATTGCTTCTGGGCTTTCTGCCAACCTTAGTAAGATTGTGATTACTTTATCTTTGGTTTCTTGTAGGCTGTTAAGAAAATTTAATAACAGCCTTTGTTTTGAAAAAGACTGAGTTATTTTAGTAAATTAAGTTTTGTACAAACTTTGTGTGTGTTGTGTTCTTTGGGGTCCATAGCTGGGGCAGAACATATCCTCAGGATCATGTGATCAAAATCTGGGCACTTTTTGGAAACCGGCATGTATTTACGATGGTTGCAGTGTCACAGGGTCGCAAGCTTATGACCAACTTCCCACCAGCAAATCAACGGGGCAAGCTGGATTCACCTAACAACTGCATGATCCACTTAATGACTGTGGTGATCTGCTTAACCACCGTGGCAAAAAAAGGCTATGAGATCAGGAAAAAAACTCCCTTAGCAACCACTTCGCTTAGCAATGGAGATTCTGCTCCCCAATTGTGATGGCAAATTGACGACCATCTAAACAACTCTCAAGAACTGTGATGGATTCGAACACAAATTACTTGTAATCAATTCAACTCATTAAAGAAAGGGGTATCTTTTTGTAATCTAGGCACCTGCGGGGAAAACAAAGAGACAGAAATGGATTTTCCTGAGCAGAATCAATCCATTGCTCCGAGGCAATTTATGACACAAAATCAGATTTCACTCTGGGGGATGAGAAGCTGCAGGAGCAGGACCAAGAGAGGGTCATGATCTGCAATTCTGGAATTGAGAGACCACTTAATAGATAAATGTTAACCCTTCAACCTCCAAAGATGGTATTGCTTGGCTGGAGAAGATCAGAGAAATGGAAAGCTCTCCCCATTTTTCATGATGGCCCAGTGATGTCCATAGGAGATGTGGAATCCAAGATGATGGCCTTCACCATCTGGTCACAGAAGCCATCTTGACAGTTTTGAGAGTCGCCATCTTGACTCTGACAGAAGCCATCCTGTCTATCCCTAGCCCAAGCCACCAGGTGTTAGTAATCTATGTTGTGTTCCCCAAATTTTCAAAACACATTCATTTCGTTCTCCTTGGGAATGACCTTACTTCAACCAGGCTACCTCCAAATCTACCAGTATACAGAGCATTCCTAATATTTGTCCTTCTGGTTGGGTTCTCCTTCAGCTTCTGCTTTAGGCTGCATTTCCTACAGGTTCTGTTAAGCAAAACACACCCGCCCTGACTGAGATGCTAAATATAGTCGCCCCACCTACGACAATTCCTTTTGACTCCCTCCTCAGAAGGGGTGAACCCAGAGAAGCTTCTACAGTCCAAGACTGTCTCTAAATGCACTTTCTCTGGGCAACATCGTTTGCTCTTGTAACGCAGAAGAAACACACCAGGGAGAAACAGGCACGGAAGGTCAAACTAAATCGAACATACTTCCTGCAAAGGCAATCAGGCTGGAGAAAAAAAATCTTGGTTTAGCCTCTTTTGATGGCACCCCAGGGGTGAGCTGGGGAGAACCTCTAGCTAAGATTCTGTGCAGTTCGGACAACCCCCAAATCCCACTCCTGGCTGGTCCCTCCCACCCCTCCCCTCCCAGGCATCCCCACGCGGCCTGTTTTGGATGCAGGTCAGTGCAGGGTGTGCACGGAGGATCGGGGAGGGCAAAAAATGGGCCTACCGGAAGTTCGGGAAGTTCTGAAGGCCAGAAATGGCCCTGTTTCTGGCCTCCAGAGGGCCTCCGGAGCCTGGGGAGGCCGCTTTCTCCCTCCCGGAGGCTTGAGGAAGGCCTCCGGAGCCCAGGGAATGCTAAAATGCTCCCCCATGCATGGTGCAGGAGGCTGACTAGGCCATGCCCACCGTGGCCATGCCCACCCAGCAACCGGGCAGAGAACCCCTTGCTAAAATTTTTGAAGCCCACAGCGCCCACAAGCTGGGCCTTAATGTCAGCTCTTCCCCCCATAGGTCACAAGGACCCTCGGCTACATTTGAAGCGCTACCAAATTTCCAGAGCTTCCTGGATCCTTTTGAAAGACCAGCAATGCTGTTTTGCACCTGGTCAAATGGCTGCTTTTATCAATGGGGAAATGCGCTGAGAAAGAACAAGCTTATTTTGTTCCTCTCTGGAACAGGCTGAGTCATTCGCAGCTCGCAATTGCAGAATGGGTGTCTTGAGACTTCCAGGGCCGAAATGGAAAATTCAAGCCAAGCAAGCAAGGTTAATGGAAGCCACAAAAAAGGTTCCTCGGTTATTACATTAACATTTCTCTCTCTTTTTTCTTCTTCTCCTTTTTTTTTTAAAAAAGTCTTTTTTGTTTAATGGAGAAAAGCACCGTTTTCCCATTAATCTGCACCTGGCAAGCAGAAGGAACTGGTATCGGGTCAAAAGTTGGCTGGATGTGTAATTCTGTATGATGCTACCATGTTTCCCCGAAAATAAGACTCTGTCTTATTTTTTTTTTGGCCTTATTTTCAGGGAGGTCTTATTATTTTGGGGCGCATGGAGCAAGATGGTGCTCCTCTTGCCGTCTTACCTGAATTCCAGCTTTGCGTTTAAATATTTTCAGGGAGGGCTTATTTTCGGGGGGAGGCTTATTTATTATTATTATTTTTTAATTTGATTTATATGCCACCCTTCTCCGGAGACTCAGGGCGGTTTACAATGCGTTAAGCAATAGCCTTCATCCTTTTGTATATTTATACAAAGTCAGCTTATTGCCCCCACAAACTGGGTCCTCATTTCACCTACCTTTGAAAGGATGGAAGGCTGAGTCAACCTTGAGCCTTGGAGAGATTCGAACTTGCAGTAATTGCAAGCAGCAGATGTTAATAACAGTGCTTTAGCCCACTGTACTACAGGCTTTTATTTTAGTGCATGCACTTATTTTAGTGCACCCCGATTGGGCTTATTATCAGGGGATGTCTTATTTTCGGGGAAACAGGGTAGTAGGAATTCTAAGAGTTTGAACATGGATCTGGACATGCATCCAAGGAGGTTAGCGATGCTAACCAATTGGGGTATTAATAGAAGAGAATATTTGCATCTCAGGGTTGAATGTGGGGGTCTTTGGTACTCCCTGAGGTTGGTTGTTTCTTTGCAGATGTTTCATGACCCAACTAGGTAACAGAGTCAGTACTGCAAAGGAGTGAGGTTTGCTCTGAGGAAACGCCACTCGTTTTGGCATTGGTGATCTAGCTAGGTCATGAAATGTCTTCAAGAAAACTACCAACCTCAGAAAGTACCAAAGACCTCTCCCCCCGGACCCATATAGGATCCCAAACTTATTTTTTGCTGTAGGATATAACTAGAGAAGTTAGTCCTCCAAACATTGCCCAAGCTACCAGTGTCCCACCCCATTGATTATGTTAGGTGAGAACCGTTAAGAGTGGAAGATCAGGAACATCTGGAGATGCAAATACTCTCTCACCAGATGGGAACATGGCAAGTACAGCATCTTGAAATCATGGTCTTTGGCATGATGCTATCACCTGAAAAACTCTCCAAAATCCATAGCAGAGACCATGAAGGTCCAAAGGTAGCTTGGCTATTGCAGATCAGATCATTTATTCATTTAGTTCATTGTTGCCTGTTCAGACTGTGGCTCACCCAGGTCTCAAGCTATGGAGATATTTCTCATCCCTTGTCACCCGGTCCTTTTAACTGGAAGATCAAAGCTGGGGCTTTGACCATGCAAAGCAGATGTTCTACCACCATAGTACTATTCTCCCCTATGGAATTTAATCTGACCTGATGGAATAGGGATACCCTGAAGGTGATCTCCATCAGGATGAAGAATTCCTTGACAAGGGAGCAGAAACACCATTGAGAATAAAAAGGTCAAGGAACCTCTGGTTCTTCAAATGTTGCTGAACCTAGCATCATACAAACCAGAGGTTTCTATTCCTACAGCATCATTCCGAGAAATTTGCCCACTGATATCGGAGGAGGCCCAGATATGCAGCTCCCAACATCTCCTGCTATAGTGGATGAAGATGTTGGGATTCCATCGCAACATCTGGAATGCAATTGGTTCCAGGTATTTAATATGGACATATCATCCTTTCTTCTTGGATACCCATACTATGTCTTAGCAATTAATTCAATTCAAGAAACTCAAATCAAAATCAATGGTTCAAGAGAGACAGAACACTAATAAATTATATCCCCTTAAGGGGTACATTATCTATAAATCACATCCCCTTGAGGTTCCTTCATTATCAACAGGTAATCCTTATTTCTATCTGAACTGTATCAGAAAGCCACTCTGATCCAGGTTTGAAAGGAAGGACCAAAAGAAAAGGAAGCGCACAGATCAAAAAGTCAAGATGTTGCATTCCAACTAGCTATAGGAAATAGGTTTTTTCTTTTTATTATTTCAAGTTTTCATAAAAATCCGTAATTATTGAAATCAAAAGTTACAGAGGAAGTATGTAACTTTTTATGGTTTGTTGTTTTGAATTTTTGTTTTTTTTCAGTTTGCTGCTGTCTTTTTAAGATCGACACAGGAGTCCATCAGGGTTGTGTCCTACAAACAGGGGAAGATTCTGGAGACGTCAGCAGAACATTTTCACAAAGGAGGACAAGGAGGAGGAGGAGGAGGAAGTGATGCGGGATTGTGGGGAGAGAAGGAGGGGGCTGGGAGAGCTGAGTGGAGAGAAGAGAGGTTGGCATTTGTGTTGACTGTTTGTAGTCACCGTCGTCATCGTTTGATTAAAAAGAAACACTGCCCGTCCTTAGTAGTGGTGTCTCTGTTCGCCAGTTCTTCACCCTCAGATCATTTTCATGTTGAACTTGCGTGGCGCATCGGCAGCGGAACTGATGCCCGCATCGGATTTCCGTGGGACGTACTCGATTTCGATATTGTGCTTGGTGTTCCCTTTGCCTCTGCTCCAAAGGAAGAGAAGCACCAGGCAGAAGAGCACGACTCCCAGGAAGGAGATGAAGCCCATGGTGGTGGCGATGATGAGGGTCTTGATGTCGAAGGGGAAAGGCACGGTGGCACGCGTGCTGTTGGCATCGCTCTCGTTCGGCTGGTTGGAGATGAAAGCGAAGGTCTTATTGGGTTGGTGGGGCCAGTCGGGGGAATAACTGCGGACGTGCAGGTGAGCCAGCATGGTGTCATTGCCTCCGGCGTTGCTGGCGATGCATAGGTAGGTGCCATTGTCCTGAATCTGGGCGTAACGCACCTCCAGAGTGCCATCGGGGAAGACGGTGAGCCGCCCGTTGGTTTTGGTCGAGATGAGGTGCTTCCTTGGCGACAGCCACATGATGACCGGAGGTGGGTCTCCATCTGCACGGCAGATGAACTGCACGGTGTGGCCCTCGTCCACAAAGATCTGCTGGGGTTTGCGGTCCCGTATCCGCGACCGGCGACAAATGAAGTAGTTTGGAAGGAGCGCCTCAGAAAAATCCTTGAACTGTTTCCCCTGGACAAATTCAGGTGTGGCACAGGTAGGCTGCCGCTTATTGAAATTCAGCCTCCAGCGACGTCGGAAGATCCAGAGAAGTCGGCAGTCACAGGCCAAAGGATTGTTATCTATGATAAGGGTTTCCAGATTCCCCACAGAGTGGAAGGCTGATTCTTCCAGTGTATTCAGAAGATTCCCTGAAACGTTCAAGATCCGCAAGTAGTTCAGGCCCCGGAAGGCGTACGGTTCCACCACGGAGAGTTGTCCCCCAACCAGCTGTATCTCCTGAAGCCTGAGTAGGTCGTGAAGCATGGAGCCTTCGATGCTGACAATGGGGTTGTAGGACAGGTTCAGAAACCTGAGATAGACCAGGTGCCTCAAGGAGACGTAAGGTATTGATGTCAGGTTGCAGTGGGTGATGGACAGAGATGTCAGGTTGAGTCCATACAGGCAGTTGGATGTCATGGTGTCTAGATAGGGCCAATGTGAAATCTCCAGGACCTTAAGTCGATACAGCCTCTTAAAGGAGTAATCCCTGATGGCGTTAATATTCAGGTGGCGCAGCTGTAGCACAATTAAGCCATGCAGGTGAGAAAGGGCTTCCGTAGGGATGGAGGTCAAGTTGCATTTCTCCAAGGTCAGATGTTCTAAGCTGTTGAGGCCACTAAAAGCCCGGTGGGAAATATAGACGAGATCATTGTCCCCAACCTCCAAAGACTTGAGGTTGTACAAGTCCTGGAACATATAATCCAGAAGAATCACAATTTTGTTCTCACTAATGTCCAACTTGGTGAGGTTGCTGAGTCCCGTAAACACCCCAAGGGGGATAAGTTTGAGCCGATTGCTCCTAAGACCAAGAGTCCTGAGGTTGAAGAGGTTATTGAAAGCCCCGGGCTCAATGCCACTGATAATATTCTCGTTTAACTCCAACTCCTCCAAGTGAGGAAAATTGACAAACTCATCCTGGTTCAGAGTCTTGATGCGGTTTTTCCCCAAATCCAACAGTTTGGTCTCGGTGGGGATGCCCTCAGGAACGGTCATGTATCGCTTCCGGTGGCAAGTCACCGAGCGTTCCTGGGCAGAGCAGTCACAGCGGGGTGGGCAACCCGTGGCAGAGCCTGAGAGGATGGATCCCAACATCAAGATGAGAATCGGCTGCCAACAGGCCAAGATTGGGCAATACATGCTCCACTTCCCCGCCACCATCCTATCTTTTACCTGCAGAGGAGACAGGAGAGAAGAAAGAAAACAAGGGTGAGGAACCAGGGAGCTTGCTCGTGTATTCAATCAATCAATCAATCAATCAATCAATCAATCAATCAAACCAGAGCTGGAAGGGACCTTGGAGGTCTTCTAGTCCAACCCTCTGCTCAAGCAGGAGACCCTATAGTGTTTCAGACTGTCCACTCTCTTCTTAAAAACCTCCAGTGATGAAGTACCTACAACTTCTGAAAGAAAGTCATTCTGCTGGTTAATTGGTTCAATACATTAATCAAAATGTTAATTAAACACAAATAGTCCTCAAATTATAAATTCATTTAGCAACCATTTGAAGACAACGGCCTTGGGGAAAAAAGGGACTTACAATCTGTTGGTAAACACCCAGTCTGGCAGAGAGGTGGGATCAAGGCAGGGGTGAAATGCTCCCGGTTCAGACCGGATCGCCCGATCCGGTAGCGATGGAGGCGGGTGGTTCGGAATTATCAGAGGCTTTTTTTTTAACTTTTAAAAGCATTTTTTCTACAATCTCTTCAGCTGAAAAAATGCTTTTAAAAGTAAAAAAAAAGCCTCTGATGATCGCGCGGCTCAGCTGGAATCATCAGAGGCTTTTAAAAGCATTTTCTTTTTACAACCTCTTTGGCCAAAGAGGTTGTAGAAAAAATGCTTCTAAAAGCCTCTGATGATCCCAGCTGAGTTGCCTGATCTGCAGAGGCTTTTAAAAGCATTTTCTTTTTACAACCTCTTCGGCCAAAGAGGTTGTAGAAAAAATGATTTTAAAAGAAAAAAAAAGCCTCTGCCGATCAGGCAACTCAGCTGGGATTGTCAGAGGCTTTTAAAAGCATTTTTTTACAACAAGTAAAAAAAAAAAAAAGTTGGCCACATCCACCCAGTTACATTACCCCGCCCCCCCACCAAGCCACGCCCACAGAACCGGTAGTAACAAATTTTACATTTCACCACTGGATCAAGCACAGGGTTAGCCTGGAGTCATCATCCTCCCCTAACTTTCTTGGAAACATATCTATCTTCTTTAAATGAAAATGGAATCAAATTTAATCATTGTCCCAACCTGGCCCATACCTGTATTCGGTTAGAACCTGTATTCCCCATCCCCCTTGCCTATGGCAACTCGAGAGCAGGCCAGGGATGCTTTGCGAGTTGACAGTTGGGTTTTCACCAGCTGTGCTAATAATAAACAAATAATAATTCATAATAAATTCTTACTTTGAGGAAACTACAGGCCTCGGAGTTTTGATTTCATTAGGTCTGTTACTTGGAATCCTGACACTAATTCGACTCTGCCAGACCTGAATCGAAACCCAAAGTCCACGCCCGTAGGTCACACATCCATCATTTAATCTGCCTCGCTCTATCTGGACAAAATTAGATGTGACACCAGAAGACGGTGCCTCTGCCCTGTATCAGTGGGGATGGAAAGATTCCCCTTGTTGCATTGTGGTGCTGATATGCAAACTATTAAACATTGTATGAGACTACCCACGACACACGTTCTCTGGTTCTTTAGAAGATCAGCACGAAGCAACACCAGAGGATAGCTGAACTGGACATCCAGTTAGGGGCCACTGCCGTAGCCCTGTAGAAGTTCTGGATATAATTATGTGGATTGTGTTTGTGTGTGTGGTTTTACTTCTCTTTGTCATGTTCTCATCACACGCTACATAACACGAGGTTGAGAGACTGCTTATGTTCTCCGAGAAACCCTGTTCAGGGATCCTGTTGTGTCTGGTATATCAAATAATCTGGCAGAAGTGATGGCTTTGTCAAGCCTCACAATCATACGACAGCTCCTTCGCCTTATCGGAGGGATGCTAACACGTGATGCCCTATGACTTCTGGGACCTCCATATTTTACGTCGCTCAAGCTGTTACAAAGGATTGCGTTGTGTTGATATTGCCTATTGTCCCCGATTCTGATCTGCGGCCCCAGGAGCCACGCTTATCTCCATTGTGATGTACATGTTCAGCATTCGCTGTGGCTATTCCTTTTTACGGCCGGGGACGGGTGGAAGCAGCATGTTCCTGTTTGAGGTTTGGAGGGATGGAGGCTGCCGAACGCTGTTTATGGCTCTTGACTATGTACATTGCTTTCCTGGTGCTGCGTAGATTTTTTTTTTCTTCGTTCGACAGAGATGTACTGCTTCTATTTCTGCAGGAGGCATGGCCCTGACAGTACCAACAAGACACTGATGTTCACAGAGAAAACTCTGAATTGGAGATGTAAGAATATAAGCAGTGACTGGCTTAATTTTCCATCCATCCATCCATCCATCCATCCATCCATCCATCCATCCATCCATCATTTATCTATTTATCTATTTATTTATTTATTTATTTATTTATTTATTTATTTATTTATTTATTTATTTACTTACTTACTTACTTTACTTACTTACTTACTTACTTACTTACTTACTTACTTACTTACTTATTGGTTCGATTTATATGCCACCCTTCTCCGGAGACTCAGGGCGGCTTACAATGCGTTAAGCAATAGTCTTCATACTTTTTGTATATACCTGCTTAGTAGGGCTTTTGCCCCCCCCAAGCGGTGTTCTTTTTTTATTCAAAGTTATCTTATTGCCCCCACAATCCGGGTCCTCATTTTACCTACCTCGGAAGGATGGAAGGCTGAGTTAACCTTGAGCCTGGTGAGATTCAAACTCGCAGTAATTGCAGGCAGCTGGCAGCTAAGTGCTACTTTAACAGCACTTTAGTCCACTGCACCACCAAGGCTCTTGGTGAAATAAGATCATTGCTCTTATTAAATCAGGTAAAGGCACCTACACTCTTCTCCACTGAGTAGTGATGGAGCTATCCAACATCCATGCAAATGATAACTTGATAAGCTATCCCAAATGATAAGGGCACTGATAACTGCCCTCTGAGCTGGTATCTTACTGGGTTTTAATTCCCTCAAATAACATCTGGAATGCCACTGCCTCTTATCTACCTTACATATCCAAAGAATCAGAGAAGGGAAAAAAAAAACTTGGTTTCACAAAACATCTTTTTCCTCTTGTTATGCTCATTTAGACCTGTCATCTTGCTGATAAGGGAATGTTGTTTTTGCAAGTACGAGGGGAAAAAAAATGGAGAAGAAAGAACAGGCATTTTCCTTTTAGGAGAGGGAGAAAGGAGAGGGAAGAAACACAGCTTCAGACAGGTTAATAAACTTCCTAATGATTCTGAATCAGAACAGCGTAGTAGATACTACTCTAGACTATTTTACAGCTTGACAAGTGGAACGGAGCAGCAATTGGGATCTATTGTTTTTTGGTGTGTATGTGTGTGCACAGTTTCACACACACTTAGAACGTTTATGGGGTCCTCTTGTTAAGACCGATCGTTGTTATGTTCCTTAGGAATCAGATCTATTGTAGTCTCTGTGTTGTTGAGAGAGAGAGAGAGAGAGAGAGAGAGAGAGAGAGAGAGAGAGAGAGAGAGAGAGAGAGAGAGAGAGAGAGAGAGAGAGAGAGACACTGAAAGGAAGGAAGAGAGGAAGTAGAAACATCACTTGCCAAGCAAAATAGTGTCATCAAGATTATTAAAGAAATCTAAGGGGTCTAATTAAGATGAAATTCAAAGCTCATTATATTGAAGAGAACTTCAACGGATGCTGGAATGAAATGTTTCACGGATAGCTTCTTGATGGAGAGCTAATCTTCCACCAAAGGGAGAGGAAGAGCGTACTTGTGATCCCTTGATATAACAAGACCTATACTTTTAGGTGATTCATCCAACAGGATGATGAATTCCCAAAGTGGACTTCATTTCATTTTGAACATTCAGAGGAACACAGTTCTGATTTACACACAGAAAAAGAAGAAAAAGCCCAACTATTTCCTACTGCAAGAGGACCTTCTCCCCACCCCAGTTCTCCTATACAATACAGGAGCTGAGCTAACTTTGGGGTTGCATCAGAAGACATCAGCAGGGAAGGTTCTACCGGCGTAACTCCACCAAACATCCTATTGACCTCTCCCGACCAAAACTGTTGTTCGATCAGGCAGCCGCAGGATGAGTGGCGACCTAGCAAGCTCCTTATCCTATTACCAACATCTTTTCTTGATCTACCTACATGAGGATGGGGAGATGGTTGAATGCATTCCATTTGGATCCCAACTCCAAAGTCCACAGGATGGAACAACAACTGATGACCTCCTTTTAGTGGTCCACAATAGAAAGCATCCTCACTTACTGCATCAAGGTATGGCATGCCGGTTTGACAGTCGCGGATAGAAAAACATTACAGAGGGTGGTGAGCACAGCACAAAACATTGTGAGCTGTCCCCTGATACCACTAGGGCTCGCTGCCTTAGAAGAGTGAGGAAACTCCTCAGGGATGATTCTCACCCTGGTCATTTATTTATTTATTGATTCGATTTATATGCCGCCCTTCTCCGGAGACTCAGGGCGGCTTACAATGCGTTAAGCAATAGCCTTCATACTTTTGTATATACCTGCTTAGTAGGGCTTTCGGACCCCCCAAGCGGTGTTCTTTTTTATACAAAGTCATCTTATTGCCCCCATAATCCGGGTCCTCATTTTATCTACCTCGGAAGGATGGAAGGCTGAGTCGACCTTGAGCCTGGTGAGATTCGAACTTGCAGTAATTGCAGGCAGCTGGTGCTACTTGGTCATCACTTCTTTACCCCACTACCATCGGGAAGGAGATATAGAAGTATAGCCAGCCGCACAAACAGGCTGAAGAACAGTTTTTATCCGTGGGCTGTCAGACTCCTGAATGAGAAATAACATCATAACTACATAGTATGATGGACTGCAGGGCCGGCGCAATGTGTAACCTGTTCACACGGGTGCAATAGGACTGGGTGTTTTGTTAATATGATTTATTGGGTTAGGGGTTTTCTGTCTTCACTGTGAGTTGTATTGTGTTGTAGGGGGGAAGGTGCACTGAGGGAGCTCCACCAATCTCATTGTACATAGGTTGTGCACTGACAATAAAGATTTGAAAT